TTGTTGGACAAACTTGAACATAAACGATGTTATAATGACGATTATAACATTGAATTATCATCATCATGATGAAGATTATGAACATGAAAATCTTGTAATATTTTTTCAAAGACTTTTTGTTCACATTGAAATCCTTGGCTTTTTTTCATTTTTTCATTTTTCTTCGATGAGAAATTGGACAAAAGTAAAGTAAGTGTGGTGTTATTGATCTTCAAGAAGCCACAAATCAATGTTATTATGGTTGTTCCATTGAGAATGATGATAATCGTCAAAAAATTGTGACATTTAAACATTTGAAAACAGAGGATTTTCATTTCAAGAGGATCTTTTTCATTTGTTTGTAACAAATTCGTTTTTCATTCGTTTGTTTGTTGTTTTTTCAAAATATCATTTTCACAATTTCAAAGCAAGAAAATCAATAAATCGATAGATTGATTGATTTTTTTTCTGCTTTGCTTGAATTGTTTCTGTTTGTCGTTTTACATTTGGTTTTATTTGATGCGAAAAGCAAAAATCCTTTTACCTGTATGTGTTTATTCTTGAAAAATAAACAACATGATGATGGTCACTTGGCAAAATTGACCATCACCACCACTGACTGAATTTTTTAAAAAATTAACGAATGAATCTCCCCCTCTGATTACCATACAACATTCGAGTACATTTGCCACCGCAAGAATTTTTCAAAAATTTCAATTCAAACTGGATTATAATGATCCATCCTTTTGCCTTAATCAATCAAGGACATGATTATTTTTTTCTTGATTTTAAAAAAACATTCAGACATCCATCCATCCATCCATCAATCAAACAAACAAACAAAAGTAAATCATTGTTGAAACATAAATCACAGAAGAAAGAAAGAAAAAAGATTTCTGCTAAAGTATCTGGATGCTAAAAAAACAAACCCTTTTTTCTTCCTCAATGTTTTTCAAATCAAATTGATTAAAAACAACAAAACACACCGGGTTTTGATGTATGTTCTTCTCAATTTTAAAATTTTCAAAATTTTCAATTTTTTCTATGGAAAAAAAACAGAAACAGAAAACAACAACGATATGAACGAGGTCAGGGACAAACGTTGAAACACACACAGCAAACATGGCTAAGAAGACATTGAAAAACAGAGCGAAATTCGACAATGATGAATTTTGCTATTGAACAAATCTTGACTGGGAAAAAAAGAGAGAAAATTTTTCAAAAAAAAGAGAGAAAATGAAATTATGGAAAAACGTTTTCTTCATTTTGGAGAATTCAGAAAAAAAATGTCGAAAAAAAAGAGAAAAAAACCATACTGCTGTTTGGACGTCATAGAATGGTGACGTTGAACAAACTTGTTGCCCAAATCAGAATCAATCAATTTTTTTTTTTGCTGGAATTTTGCTTTTTTTTCTGTTCAAAATTTCCATCAACATTGATAACATCAAAAATGAATCTAATCTAATATGATTTGTGATGTTTGGAAACAAAAAAAAATTCCCGTCAAAAAAAAGTTTTTCCAGAAATAACTGGAAAAAAACAAAGCTTTTTTTGGCCGTTTGTTGTTTAAGCTTATTTTTTGTGCATGTTATATTAATGAAAATACCGTGTAAATAAAAGCAAAAAACGAAAAAAAAATTGAGAATCCATGATAACCACCCATAGAAGCACACACACACAAAGGATATGCAAATTGTTGTTACCATCTACTGATTCTTCAT